TTTTCATTGAAATTCTCACACTATGTTCAAATTACCCCACGCTAAAAGTTATTTTGCCATTTTTAAAAACAGGGTTCAAAAGCAAATTTCTTGGATTGAAGGCACTGCTTAGGTCATTGTACAACAAAAGCCGTTGCGTATTAGGCGCTAGCAATGCAAGATTTTGCGCTGCAATGAAGTTGCAATGAAGTGTTGTTAAGCGTTTTTCCTTGCGAAATTGATTTTTTACACTGTGCGTCAACATCTTCATTCCCTGAAACTTTAAACCCCGGTCATATGATAGCCCTTTTAGTTACGATAATTTCTCTCATTGGTCTTATTGTCATGCCACTTATGGATTTTCCGTAATTTTGTGTTATTCACACTATGTTCAAATTGCCCCACATGTTCAAATTACCCCACCCTACCCTACTTCATTTAACTGTATATGGATTGGTAGGTATGTATATGCGCTTTTCGAGGAGCGTTACAGATCCGAAAGTTTGCTTACTTCGCTCGCTCGGTAATAAATTTATTTTATTTACCGGTGAAACCTCTACCAAATACCTGTACCTGCGCCTATACCTGATCCTAATCGAAAACCTGTAAGTGATTTGCACAGAGTTCAAAGCAAGATACCTATAATAAACAGGTAGATCCGATGTTTTGAGTAAAGCCCTGGTGACGTCACTGATATTTCTTATATGGAGAATTTCACCCGTAAGGAAAATATTTTACATACAAAAATTTGTATGCTATTAGGAAAAAATACAATCTTTCAATTCCACCATGAAAATTATATAATTTAATTAATAAACTCGAAATCCTTTGAGTGTTTGTCCCAACCCCCTGTTATACCTTTGGTCACGTGACTACCATGATACACTTTGCATTTTACAAGGTTATGACTTAAACGGAAGTAATAAATAATGCAAATGTATTATTTATGATGTTTTAGGCAGCAATCGTGTGAATATATCCTGAAATTATCAATAATCTGCTGAAAAGAAGTCACGTGATGTTACCAGATTGTGCTCGGACAGCATCTTCTTGAATTTCGATTTTGAGTACTTTGTACCTTCATTGAGGCCTAATAACGGACGTTTTTAGTTATAAAATGAAGCACTGAATCTAATGAGGGCAAAATTTATTCAGTTTTGCACTTTCAGGCCGGGCTATCCTGGCATGAACTTCGGCAAGTTTGTGTGTAAAGCCTATGGTGAAGGGAAAACTTCACGCCCGGCTGACGTCACAGACCTCGGCTACCAAATCGTGTCCGGTGGGGGCTGGTTCAAAGTTTAATGACCTCCTGAGCTGGCTCTCATCGTTTTCACTCAGTTTTGCAAGCGAAGAAAATGAGCCTACCGCGCGTGCTCTCTGCTCGGCGCCGGCCTCGGCCAGCCTGGGGCAGAGATGCACGTGCTGACGCCGCACCCCTCGTCCGATTGCGCCCATCTTTTGATACGATGGTCCGCCCGACCCAAAGTTTGTGGTCACCAAATTTCACGTCGATACGCGGCGCCGTTCCGGCGCATTAAGACACATAAGGCTGACGGACACGCAGACAACTTATAATTTATTAACAAACAGGCACGCGTATAATTATAAGACATATATAACAAACACTCAATAAATTATAAGTTGTCTGCGTGTCCGTCAGCCTGATGTGTCTTAATGCGCCGGAACGGCGCCGCGTATCGACGTGAAATTTGGTGACCACAAACTTTCGGTGGGGCGGAACATCGTATCAAAAGATGGGCGCAATCGGACCAGGGGTGCGGCGACAGCGCGTGCATCTCTGTCTCAGGCTGGGCGCGGCCGGCGCCGAGCAGAGAGCACGCGCTAAAGGCTCATTTTCTTCGCTCACAAAACTGAGTGAAAACGATGAGAGCCAGCTCGGGAAGTCATTAAACTTTGAACTCTGTGGATATAAAAAATACAGGTTTTCGATTAGGATCAGGTATAGGCGCAGGTCTAATAATTTATTCACCGAAGTGTATGAAAAGCAGTGCGGCGCTTCGTGGAAGTAATGCAGCAGATGGTAGCAGATGAGATATAGAGGATTCTTCATGGCTCCGAGTGGAAGATAAGGATATCTTTTCCAAGCGGGTTAGGTACTGAAAAACCGAGCGACGAATGAGCGATGTTTTTCTGTAACACGCGAGGAAAAGATATCCGATCTTCCACGAGTGAGCCATGAAGAATCCTATATCTTTCTATGTTGAGGTTTATTCTTAATTAATCAAATATTATGTTTCAATGTATTCATCTATGTAGAAATATATTAAAAGCAGTTTGTTTTTACTTCATAAGTTTCATAGGTACACAATCATTGAAAATTGTTCAACACTTTAAAAATTGACCTACAGGGTGACACACACAAAAAAAAAAAACGGTCAGCACCAAATTTCGAATAACTTCGGAAGTTTTATTCAGACCATCACCAATCTTCGGCCACTTAAGGTCACACCTATGTAGCATACATCCACCAAGTTTCAAGTCTTCACTACGAATACTTTTAGTACAGTGTGTGTTTTACGGACGCTCCACAATGTGCTCCAGGTGAGCGCCACGGCGCTGCAGGGCGTAGGCACACTTGCATCCGGCGGGCAAAGTTGTCGATAACCCGATGGCTGTGCACTTTACAGAGTGCAATGGCCTCTGGAGACAGTGCTCAGGGGGTGTGCTACCCCTGAAACGTTATTCTTATCGGGTTATCGGCAACTTTGCCCGCCGGATGCAGGTGTGCCTACGCCCTGCAGCGCCGGGGCGCTCACCTGGAGCACATTGTGGAGCGTCCGTAAAACACACACTGTACTAAAAGTATTCGTAGTGAAGACTTGAAACTTGGTGGATGTCTGCTACATAGGTGTGACCTAAAGTGGCCGAAGTTTGGTGATGATCTGAATAAAACTTCCGAAGTTATTCGAATTTTGGTGATGACCGCTTTTTTTGTGTCACCCTGTATCATCACTTGAACTCTTGCTTTTTAGCTATGAACCCTCGAGACCTAATCTTTGCATCTAAGAGAAGTGCGAGATAGAAATATCCCTGCACTGTAGACCTAATGGCAAATAAACCTCAACTAGAAAGATAATGGCCTCTAAAGCGTGACCGAAGTCGGGGAGCTGACAGAAAATGTTCTTTTGACTACAGGGTGTCCCATAAGTTCGTTCTCACATCATATTTGTATGTAAAACAGAGTACATTGCGTTTTGATATATTAATGACCCCTCAATGTGCTCCCCCCTCCATAGGCAAACACATGAATACATGCTGCGGCATGCCAACCGGCATGTTTGACAGCATAGCAGGCTTGAAGCTAGCCCAGACTGACTTGACATGCGCCGTGAGATCCTCGAGGCTGGAACAGCGCTCCGCTTCGACAAGCCTCGATTTCAGTATTCCTAACACATTTTTAATGAAATTTGGATCCGACGAGTTGCCTGGCACGTGATCTTCCACAAACACGTGTCACAATAGCCATTTCAAAACATTTCCGACTGTTTTGAGTCCTTCGTTGAGTCTAAGTCCAATTGACCGTGAGTTATGTACCCCGAAAGAATACTCTTAGACGAGACAGCTGGTAATCCATCCTGAAAAGCCTGCTTACCAAATTTTTAACGCTTTGACCTTTTTGATGGCCACTTTGGCGCCACACAGTTTTGGCCGCGTGGCTCATTTCTGATGGCTGACTGGAAATAGGATAAACTTGCAGTCATTGACTCCCGACAAGTCATCGGCGTCACTTGCTGACTGTGCGTCCAGTTAGCGACAGACATTGGCTACAGGCTGGATGGCCTCAATCACCCTTAATCGTCGCGAATGGCCCACGTGCTAACTTAATACCGAGACGTACCCGTATCGGATGCCTCTATGTTGCGGCGTTAGCCATCTCTGCAGGGAGTGGGCTCTCTAGCAAAAACTATTTTGTCTAGCTAAATTAGCTAATGCGGAGCATATTGCCAGTTGCCATGGCAACCCCATAAGCTAAATTACTAACAAAATTCAGCGTGCTCTAAATAAGAGAGCCTCTAAAAGAAAGATTTCGGTGAGAACGAACTTATGGGACACCCAATACAAAGTAATTCCCTTAACCCTCACCGGCACAGGGGGGGGACGGGTGATGCAACCCCCCCCCCCTAAGGTTTTTCGCGAATAACTCGCGTAAAAAGCGGCCGATCGCGACGAAACTTTCAGCACCCTCGCATTGATCAATTTTACACCTACCCTGAAAATTTCATGACCCTGACCCAAATGACCTTTGACCTGTGACCTCTTTTCCGAGACCATGTTTGGCCGGAATCGCGATTCGGCGTATGTCGGCTCGCATTAGCCGCGCGTTTGCAAGCTTTTCATGGTTTCAAACGTTCAAACATGTGATTTGATGTTGCACCCATGCATAAGGGTGGGTGTCAAGGTCACCTGAAGGTTAGGTCAGGTCAATGACATTTGGTGACCTCGGTTCACTTTTTCGAGTTTTACATGTTTATGGGCTAGTTTTTGGAGCTGAATTCAAATTTAGCAACCATTTGAACATTTACGAAGTAGTTTCGGTGCCTTCGTAACATGTTGCGAAGCTGTCAGAGGCGGATGGCAGGTACTACGAATACCCGTCACGACCCCTACCGGTTGACCTGACCTGACCTGACCCGACCTGGTCTAAACGCTTAACGACATCTGTGATCAAAACAAACACGATATTCGTGATCAGCACCCCGGAAAACCCCTTAGCAGCCACACTTTACGACTTTCTAACAGGTCCCGATATTCCCGACTTTTGGGTCATTGATCTGGCCTGGAAGGTCAACCGATGACCTAGGACCTTAAAATTTGGTATCATTGGCTTCCTCTCGTGACGGGCAACACGCTCGTTTTTTTCCGCGAAGCTCTAGCTCCATCAAGGGCCAAACGCGAGGGGGGTCATACCAACCCCCTTGTGCCGTCGAAGGACTCAAAATGGCCTGTGCCGGCGAGGGTTAATGCTCCTTCGTAGCAAACACACCACAATAGCGCCTCACCTGCTGAGCCCGTTGCCTCGTCTCCTTCGCCGACCGCGGCAACGGAAGCCTCGGGCTCCGCCTTGACAACACCATCACCGAGGGGAACCTGAAAAGGTTAAACTCGGGTGATGTCGCTACCACTAAGTTTTGCTGTAAGTGCACGTATGTAGCGGGGCTCAGCTGCAATAGATTTATTTGTTTTGCGACTGGTCAGTCACTGGGGCACATAGGCTGCTACAACTGTACGACCCTTATTGGGTAAAGAGGATATTTGATAAGAGGTCAAATTTTTAAGTTGGTTGTTAAGGCCTAAAAAGGTGTCTATCTGATGTAGTTTTTCACGGTGAATCGAATGGTGCTATTTTTGTTTCCGTACGAGGTCTAGAACTTCCCAAAAAAAAAAAAATTTCAAAAAATTTGTGTCGTGACATCATAAAATTGTTACGGAGCGAGCGAAGCGAGCGTAGTCTTTCCTTAGATTAACGGAAATTTCTGAGTATGAGCGGCCGGCCGTGGGGACGCTTTTGCGAGGCTTATATCTCAGCAACCACTTGACCGATTTACACGCGGTAATTTTTGTAGGGTAGCTTCATTCCTTCTACCAAGTATTGGACTATTCCCGATGCACGTGGGTGACCCCTTATGCACGTGCCACGTGCAAAACGAAGAGGTGTCAGTTTTGTAATTGTTGCAATATTTCGGTAACTACGTGGCCGATTGCGCTGAAAGTTGGCATGTAGGACGTAGGTAGGCACCCACTAGGCACTGCATATCCATGTGCCAGAGTTGGGGTGCTGCTGCACGTGCGCACGTGCAGGGGTCGTTTCCAGATCTCGAGAACGGCTGGACCGATGGTGCTCAAATTTGGTACACAGCTAGGGACCAGTTAGTAGGGTGCCGTGCACAAGTCAGTTGGAACCCATTTTGCACGTGCGCACGTGCAGGGTGCCGCTTCCAGATCTCGAGAGCGGCTGGGCCGATTGTGCTCAATTTTTGGCACATCGCTAGAGACCGGTTAGTAAGGTGCCGTCCACAATTCAGTTGGAGGTACCCCTTCGAAATTTCGCACGTGCAAGGCCCACCCTCTCGCTCGCTCCGTTAGTCGCCCCAAAAGGCGTTATACTGGTGAATAACTCCCACATTTTTGAACCGATTCTTCTAAAAATTGGTATGTAGGTGCAAATAGACCACTTCTCTGACATGTCTTCTGTTTTTTTTTTATAAACTCAAAATTTTGGATTTCATAACTATTTTCCCAAAAGTCAGTTTTTTTTAAGAAAAAAATTGGGCCAAAATCCAAAATTTTCAAAAAACCGAGATAGCCATTTGATAGACAAAGTAGAATCACGTGTAACTTTTTTGTTACGTCTTGATTCCTTTAAAAATGAAGATGTTAGCGGCGTTTGAAATTTTGCCGTTTTTTAGGCGAAAATGGCGAACATGACATCACTAAAACGTCATTTTCTCAGACAATTCCCGAAGGATTTCGCTCAAATTTTCAGGAAACATCTTAAATTGATGTATGATAAGGTACTGAGAGTTTGACGTCGCTGGCGTAACGCGTTTAGAAGTTATTGGCGAAAAACTGGAGGGGGCAGATTCTGCCCCCCCCCCTGCGGGGCGCGGGTTAAACGACCCCTACCACTGATGTTTTAACCAATAATCCTAGTTCCTACTCGCACGTTTGAAGTGAGCTTTGCCCCGAATGCCATCAGATCGATTAATCATAACGTACTCCATCGTTCAACCTAGACAATAACCCTCCCTATTTCCCCATCACCCGTAAGTGTAGACAACCGTGTGTTTTTTTCTTTCTTGACGCCCTCCCGCGTCGGTGGTGACCTGAGCCGGAAGCCGGCCACCTGGTGATGGGGTGAGGTCGAGAGGCGACCCTTCCCACGGCGGGCGGCGCCGGTGTAGCTGCGTCCTGAGGGCCCCGTTTTATAAAGCGAGTCCGTATTCTACGCCGGTTTTTTGTCTTGTATTACAAGCGCATGTGAAGCGATGACGATAGTTTGAATCGTTGAATTTATTGATCTTGCAAGCAAGAACAGAGGGGAGACGGGGAAATAAATGTATCGCTTCACATGCGCTTGCAATACAAGCCCAAAAACCGGCGTAAGTTACGGACTCGTTTTATGAAACGAGGCCGAATAACGGTGCCAGGCGGTCCCATGATTTTGAGAACGCGCATGTCCGAGTCCATGGTATGTCCTTTCGCTTCTTGAGCTTCAAAAATAGACGTGTTTTCTTCCTACTTGCCCATATGTTTCGCGTCAGAAGTGCATTAAGGCCGCGGCAGTTATTGGAGTCTGTGGCCGGGCCGCGTTTCCACGTGTGGAGGGTGATAGCTGCAGCTGGACGGACGGTAATGGTGGTGTTTGTCGCGGGGTCAATTTACATACGTGTTTCCCGAAGTCTGAGGGAGCCAGATGGCCATCTCTTAGTCGGTGATGTCTGGAGTGTGAGCTGGCGCTTGGCGGAAAATGGACGCGACCGCGCTAGCCATAACCAATGGTCCATCGATGAAATCGAAACACACAAATGGTGAAAATGGTCAAAGGAATAAGAGTAAGATAACGTTCGAGCGATTTCTCGGATTGATGATGGCGAAAAAAAACTTGTAACCCAATCCTGAGAAACCATTTAGGTCGTTGGCATGGCATCAAGCGGTCCTTTTAAGGCATCTTGGTGCTCATGGTGTGTTACATGCTTGCACAGCATTTGAAGAGGTAAAACCCACTTTTAACAGTCCCGTCTATCGTCTACGCTTTCCTATCGGCTAAGTTTTTATCTTTATCCAACATGCAAAATCGGACAAAAATTAAAAGATACAGACTTTCTAAAACACATCCTTAACTAAATTCAGATAGTGCATCGATGACAACGTTGACAAGAAAACTATCGTAACAGGTTAAAGACACTCACCTTGGTGTCGGGCCCCAGCTCCAGCGGGTCCCGGTCGGGTACATCCACCCTCCACTTGGCGTCCCAGTCGTCATCTACCGGATAAACACATGTGTCATATTAACTGAGTCGTGGTCTGGAATGCTCATCTGCCTGGCGCGTGGTTGGTGGTGACCACACAAATAAAGTACCTATAGGTTCTGTGAAATGACTATGGTAAATATCAAAAGCTCCTAGAATCAGATGTCAAGAGGTTGACGTCAAAAGGTTGCCAGCGAACATGCCCACTGTTTGGATGTTTGTCAGTAAAACTTCAACTGAACTGAAGTCGGTGTGTTCCGAACACCACCTTAGACTTTAGAGACACGTGGACATGAACACAATCAGCCTGGATCATACTAACAGCCAATCAGCTTTCAGCTGCTTCGGCAAACAGCTGAGCGCGGGACTCGCGGCCACTAAATGATGGCGTGTGGTACACCTCTCCCACACCCGCGCCCTGTGTAAGTAAGCTTTCCTCGACCAAAAGAAGCCATTTACTTCTGGCAAAGCAAGGGAAGTCGTATAACACCCTGGGATGAAACAGATTACCATACTCTTGATTGTCTGTTCTTTATCAAGTTTGCAGAGCACTAAGATCAACATGACTGGTCATATAATACTACAAACGTGTTTTTTTTTCTGGTAGACATTAAATAACTATTACCATGTTACAAGAAATCGGTAATTAGACATTTGCAACAGCTTGCAACAATTGCAAGTTGCAACTGTGTCGAAAGGTGTGGGTTTGTGTGTGAAGGATCAGGAAGTTGGTTTTGTGCATAATTCCAGGACCCGCAATTTATATAAAGCGTTGCTCTTATCCATTGACAAAAAATTTCCAAGCAATCTGTCAATAAATGTAGCTATGGCAGGTACTGAAACATTTTCTGAGGTGAGGTCACTTGACGTTACCTGGACATTCAGGGACCTTGGTCTGAAATTTTCACAACATGGGCAAAAAAAGATGCATGAAGGGGTGAGCTAAAACAGCAAGGGATATCCCCCCCCCCCCTCCCCAGCAGAGCACGGGTGGACTATACATGCAGTACACACAACATCCTACAGTACGGTAGTCTTAATTGGCAGTTGAAAGTATTGTATCCAATATTGGACCAAATAGGAAGCCACTTACCTTCAGCCTTGACTATGATCTCCCGGCTATCACCGATCTGGGATGGCAGCTCAGGCTTGATGTTAACAGCATCCCTACACCTGTGAAACACAACATATCACTTGAAGCAGAGATCAAGCTGGAACTGTGGAGCATCGTACTTTCAATAGTTACGATTATGTACTGTTAAGTTTATAGTCCAGCTAACATTTTTAATGTGTCATTAAGAATGCCCGGCTATGCCTTATGTCAAACTGTCAAAATAGATTCATGAAAGTATTTAAGACGAGCAGCATTTTTCTATTGATGGGTTCCAACAATGTGTTCATTGATTTAAACCACCGGAAAACAAACAATAACGGTTTTAACGTCGCGTGCTGTCGGCCCGGTGGGACGTGTCTCGTCTCGAGCTGCCGGTCCCGCCATCGTTCGTCAGCTGATTCCTTCTTACCGATCTCCCTGTCTTCTGAGTACCTACATCGAAATCTACTCTACACTTCGAAGCAAGGACAAAACTGCAACTGTAATCAATGCCAATTGCAAGATCTCCAGTTATGACTCGTTAGAAACAGGGAAATAACAGGAACAGTAAAGCAAACAGGAAAATAACAGGAACAGCAAATCAAGCATGAAAAAGATGCGCCAGAAGCGAACGCGAGCTCGGGTGATCAGCTGACCAAGACCCGACTACTCCGACCTTGGAAAGAACGAAACCTTGCGATAAGCGCCCGCCGGGTCGTGTTAAAAGCGGGATTTTGAAGAAAAAAAGCGAGGAAGACCGGACAGGAGACCAGAAAACCGTAGAGGGTCACGTAAGCTTGATGACAACGCAATCAAACCCTAGGGACGATGTTCCGCGTCCATGTTCAGGTCATCTAGTGACACTGGTAGTAGTGGAAGTGAAACCTTCTTTTGCCAGGGTGGTCCAGGCAAAGAAGCATGTGGACTGTGGAGATCCAGTGTTGGATGGCGAGATGCGACGGCTGTTTGGCATGGTATCATTCGGACTGCCAGGCTATCTCCAAAGATGCTCTTCGAGCCATCGAACAGGGGCACCCTGTCCTGAGCTGGCTGTGCCCTGAGTGCAAGGCTGTTCCGAAGCGTAAAGACGCAGGAAACACACTTAAACTGCAGGCTCTTGAGGCCAAAGTTGACAAGTTTGCTAGCTTTGTCTGGTCACTGTGCACATGCGGACTGTAGAGCAATGCCTGCAAGACCAGGAGAGAGCATCTGTGGAAAACGGGAGGCTCGTTAAGAGCTCCATCAAGGAAATCCATCAGCAGAAGGCCACGTACGCTGATATGGTCAAGGGATCTTGTGATGAGGTTCCTAGCAAGGTCAGTGCTCAGATAGCATCCCTTCCTACGAGCAGTAGCTCCAAAGTCACAGCCAAGGCTACACAGGATCTGTCAGTAATATTTGATTATCATCAGGAAAAGGAGAAAAGAGAACTGAACGTGGTGGTCCACAACATGAAAGAATCATCGAGTGAAAGTTTGAGGAGCGAACAAAACATAATGCAGAGTCCTTCGAGAAGATGGTGACATTAATCAGGGAGGCATTCAGCCTGAGAGTTGTCATATCTTTCAGAGCTGGTAAGAAGATGCCTGGACGTCTGAAGATTAACTCCGACAAGACAATCGAGTGAAATTTCGAAACATGCCTCTGGATCGGTCGCCTCCGCTTTCCCGCCGAAACCAAACGGCGGCGTCAGCTGATCGCGGCGTCGGAAAACCAACGGCCAACGATAATGTCCGCGGCGATCGTGGTGACTGTGGCGTTCGTGGCGGTCGCAAAGAAAACAGTGGCGGCAACGGCGTCGGCGAGGCCGACGACGCTAGTGGAACTGGAATTTTCGGCACAGGTATGGATAAGTCTACTACGAAACAAAATCAGCCTGGTAAACTTGACCAAAGTGTGTACAGAGCGTTTGGGCAGGAATCCTTGGGCTCACTCTCCGGCTCCTCGAGCGATACAAGCAGTGCCGAGGCTATCTGCCCGGGGGGACCCGGTAAGGTATATGGTAATCCAGTGAAAGATGGGGAACCCGGAATTTGTTGTGACAGATGTCATGGGTGGTTTCATCCGGGCTGCCAAGGGACATCCGAAGCAGCAGTTAGAGCACTGGATAGATTCCAGAGTCTCGCATGGCTGTGCGTGAAGTGCAAATCGGACCTCAAAAGCAAAAAAGGGAAAGATCCCTTGTCATCGGAATCCATAGAAAAAAGCTTCAACAACTAGAGGAGGCAGTGAAGAAAAATGATGAGCTCTTGGCCGACTCAGTCAAGACCCAAAAGCAAATGGTTCGAGACCATGTATCCCCCATAGACAAATCAGTGAAATCCCTTGAGGCGCAGTCGTCAAAACAATCACAGATGCTTGAACTAACTGCTCAGCAACACAAGGCATCATACGCTGAGGCAGTAAAGAGCACATGCTCAGAGGTCGCTCATGTAGTAAAAACCCAGCTTGCGCAGCTACCTAAACCAAACCAAAATGAACAGAGAACAACTACTTCTACCACTGCTGAGCTGTCTAGAGTTCTTGAAAACCACCTGGGCAAGGAAAGGAGGAAGGCCAACATTGTCATACATAACCTACCCGATCAAGGAGAGGGCACTCTGCACGAGAGATCAACAAATGACCAGTCTGCAGTCACAACCATGATCAGGGAGTTGATGAAAATAAACATCACACCATCAAAGTCATTCCGAGTTGGAAAGGCCATTCCTGGGCCCAATCTTACCAAATGCCGTGAATGCGCATTCACGGCATTTGGTAACATTCAGAACTATTCCACATTCACTTTTTCATTCGTTCAGGCAACATTCATAATCATTCACGCTATCAAAATCATTGGACAAGATTAGCTGGATGTAAATAAAAACGATATCTTTGATATCAGTGCCTTAAACTCCGGCCAGTGCTGCCAAATTCTATTTACGGCATTGGTAAGATTGGGCCCTGGGAAAGCAAGACTTCTTATTGTCACCCTGGACAACCCAGCTTGTAGGCAGGACGTGCTGAAAGGTGCTCCCCAACTGCGCCACTCTGCACAGCACGGCAGCATTTACAATTTACATCACCCCTGACCTGACCCAACAGGAACGAGAGGCAAACAGGAAGCTGAGGGAAGAGCTGGCTTCCAGACGGAGATCCGGTGAGGACAACCTGAGAATCAAGGGGGGAATTGGGAAAGATAATCTGCCTCAATCAGGAAACAAGTAACGATGCTTCTAGCACAAGCAGGAACCCTGGTGGCACCACTGTGCCTTCTCAAACTCGTCAGGCTGAAAACACCGCCCCTGGCGCGCCTGTACCTGCCCAGACAACTGCCGTGCCTCCAGCTGTTGGCATGGCATCTGCCAGCCACGAGGCTAGTGGCACAGTGCAGAGATCTGGTGCAGTGGACGGCAATGGTGGCACACCTTTGCAAATCCCAGCACCTAGCTCAGAAGCCCACCCAGCAAATGGTTTGTGACTAAATCACCCAACCCCTCTTTACCCACAAATGCTGACCAGTTTATTAACAAACGAGATGAACTGTGCCTGCTGATTTGCGATGATGAGCCTGACGTTATCGTCATCTCTGAGGCAATTCCCAAAGCCCAGAGAAACCCCATTGCCCCTGCACTATTAAATATCCCAGGTTATGTAATGCATCCCAGTTTCGATCTATCCACCCCAAACCTAGGCCAGAGTGGAACTAGAGGCGTATGCATTTACACGGCAATAAACCTGAAGGTAACCGAGGTTCATCTAGGAAAATCATCTGTTTCTTAGATATGGTACATGACTGTCTTCTCTCCCAGCACGTCAAGCGCCCGACTCGATACCGATCGGGCGAGACACCGTCAGTGCTGGACCTGATCTTTACCAACGAGGAGGGCATGGTGAAAGACATACAGTACCAATCTCCGCTAGGAAACAGTGACCATGTGGTCATTCGGTTTACTCTCTCCTGCTACACTGAAGCTGCCGCCTCACTCCCCGAGTATCACACCATAACTGACTACGAACACCTTTCCACCGCCCTAGGTGAACAAAACTGGTCCGACATGCACAGCATGAACCTGGATGAGGCATACCAGACGTTCAAAGCGCGGCTCTCGGAGGCCCTGACCGAAAGCTCCAGGAAGAGGAGATCGCGTCATAAGAAAAACATCTACATGAACCGCAGAGCCATGCAACTGAGGAAGAAAAAGAAGTCGCTCTGGTCTACATACCGATACACGCTTGACCCCATCGACTACGCCAGGTTCACACGCTGCAAAAATGAACTTTGGAAGCTCACCAGAACTCTACGCAAGGAATACGAGTCCAAGCTGGCTGGCAATCTGAAATAGAACCCAAAGGCCTTTTGGAGGTATGCCAACACGAGGCTTCGCACCAGGAGCAGAGTTGACAACCTGCTAGACGAACGGGGAGACCTGACATCATGTGACAAAGACAAGGCTGACACGCTGGGCAAGTACTTCAGCAGCATCTTTACCCATGAAGATACTGAGGCACCAGATATGGACCTTGATTGGCAAGGCCCCTTCCTCGATGATGTTGAAGTATCTCCTCAGAAAGTGGAAGGAAAGCTGCTATCCCTCAAGACAACCAGCGCGCCGGAGCCTGACGCGATACATCCCCGAACCCTTCGCGAGTCAGCACTGGCCCTCTCCTCCCCACTGAGCATACTGTTCCGCAAGTCTTTGGACACTGGGTCGCTTCCCTCGGACTGGAAGACAGGCGAGATCACCCCGATCTTCAAGAAGGGAGACCGCCAACGCCCCTCGAGCTATCGTCCAATCACTTTTACTGCCATCCCTGTCAAAGTCCTCGAATCAATTGTCCGAGACGGTCTTCTCCAATATTTCCGCGAAAACGGTCTGCTCGCCAGCGCCCAGCACGGCTTTCTTCCAAAGAGGTCATGTACGACACAACTGATGGAAGCAATCGAGGACTGGAGCACCGCCATCGAAAACGGAGACAACATCGACATCATCTACCTGGACTTCGCCAAGGCGTTCGACTCTGTGCCGCACCAACGTTTGATCCACAAGCTGTTTGCATACGGCGTCCGGGGTCCGCTTCTCAACTGGATCGAAGCCTTTCTGATCGATCGCCGACAGAGTGTTGTGGTCCATGGATGCAAGTCCTCATGGGTCCCTGTGACCAGTGGTATTCCACAGGGATCGGTTCTCGGACCTGTACTGTTCACGATATTTGTCAACGATCTTCCCTCGAAGGTCACTGGTTCGGTCAAACTGTTGGCCGACGACACGAAACTATACCGCCGCGTCCTGGGTAGCAGCAATGACCTCCAAGCTAACATTGATGCGCTCGTCCGCTGATCTGAGAAGTGGCTGCTCCCTTTCAATGCCCAAAAATGCAAGGCGATGCACCTCGGCCAACGGAACCCGGAGCATTCGTACTATTTGAACGGCATCCTGATCCAGAACGCTGAAGAGGAGAAAGACCTCGGCATCGAAATCGACAACCAACTCAGTTTTCACAAGCAGACCGCGTCAGCCGTCGCTAAAGCCTCACAGATTCTGGCCGTCGTGAGACGCTCATTCGCCAACATTGACGAACACACGCTGCCGCTTCTCTACAAGACCATGGTTCGGCCCCTCCTAGAGTATGGGAACACAATCTGGGGACCTTTTGGGAAAGAGGACCAGAAGAGGCTTGAACGCGTGCAACGTCGTGCAACGTCGTGCAACAAGAATGGTCGCAGAGATCAAGCACCTTCCGTACCCTGAAAGACTCCGTCGACTGGGACTACCATCACTCTACTACCGGAGGCGCAGAGGCGACATGGCGACCCTATATCAGCTGCTGCTCGGAGGGTTGGCCATATCGCCAGAAAGCTTCTTGACCCGGAGCAACTCAGCTCGAACCAGGCAGGGGCCACGAGTGGAAGCTCGAGAACCCGAGGGCCACCAAACTCGTGCGCAGAAACGCGTTCAGCTTCAGGGTCATCAACGACTGGAACTCCCTACCGAGTGCAGTGGTCATGGCACAGTCCATCAACCAGTTCAAGGCCCAGCAGGACAAGCATTGGGGTGTCATCATGTACGACACCCCCTATCCCTGAGAGCCTAGCCTGTATCCCGATATGAGCTTGATGAGAGCGGGATCCCCAGGTCAAGTGGCCTTTTCAATCCCAATCACCACGAAGGTAAGGTAAAGTAAGATAAGATACTCCCCTGCGCCCTATGGTACATGTGTCGTGTCTTGTGCGCCCAGGGCAGTAGGTTGTAGGTAAGTAGGTAAGGTTAGGTCAGGTTCAATTGTTTTTCTTGTATTTGCGAGACATGTCAGTAGCTATCATTTTTAGATTTAGGATACCTTACCTAACCTTCACAGTGATCGGGAGGCCACTTGGCCTGGTGATCCCGTTCTCATCAAGCTCTAGGACTAGGACAGACTGGGCTCTTATGGGTATGGAATGTCATACTTCAGGCTTCTCCAATGTTCATCCAGCCCAGCCTTGAACTGATGGACGCTGGTGACAGACACTAAAGAAGCTGGCAGAGAGTTAATCTGGCAGAGAGAAGTTGGCAGAGGATGTCAAATAAAATAAGAATATGAAAACTTATCCTTAATAAGTTATCCTGACTTTATCTTGACATTTACCCAGTCAGCCTTGCTGCAACCCACCTCTCTTGCGGTTCCTGAGGCATCTGGCGTTTGTCTGCTGCTGCTGCACCTTCTGTATCTTCTGATGCTGACAACTCCTAGATGGATGATAGAAATAAAAAAAAATTAAAATTAAGCAGCACAATACAAATAAACAAATTACAAAGCATGCCGCCACACTGTTCAACCTTATATAAATATCTAGAATCTTTGGCATTATGGTACCTAAAGCACACATCACATGAAGGTTTTCCAACCAAAGAGGCAGTGTAGGTTTAGGTTGTAGGTTTGCAGGTTTATAGGGTAGGTCGTTGGTTTGTGGGCTGTGGGTTGTAGGTAAGGTTAGGTCGGAGGGGTGTTCATGGGCGCACACACTGCTGCGTGCGGTGTGTGCGGTGCGTCCAGCAGGCGTGGGGGTAGGGGATGGGTAGGCGGTTCTGACGTCAGGGCTGCGTGAGGTGGACGGTCCGCTGTGGCCCGTCCCGACCGGCCACAACGGTCACTGTGTGCGGTGATGGAAGGCTGACGTAGGCGGTAGGGACACAGTGGGTGGAGCTTGAAGGCTGTGTGCGGTCCGACTGCACACAGGGCCCGTGAACAGCCCCCAGGTTAGATAAGGTTTGATTTGGTTTGGCTGGATTAGAAAGAAGCATCTCCGGGTGTAACATCTCTTCGGTGGAGAACCTTCATGACGTTTGCTCCAACAATTCTGTAGGTAAGTATCTTCTATCAAAAATATAATATATTGTTAGCCTATCGTAACGGATAACAAAAAGGAGACCAACTTAAATGTATTTTCAATGTTACCGCCGTACAAGAAGAGATTTTTACGCTATTCAAATAAAAAACACCTACAATTTGCACCTACCTCTTCTTTCACCTCCTCCTTCACTATCAAAAGCAGAGAGCAGGTCTCGATAGCAACGTCACTCATCGTTGACAAGTCTTGCCTACAAATTTCCCACACTGCAAACCCAAGATACCTATAATAAACAATCCAAACCAAACCAACTGCAAACTTAAACTGCAATGTATAAATTTGCCACTGGGAGGGGACTTATCATATAGCTTATATACACTGTGCATGTGCATATCAATATCAATAGGCTCGGAGGGGACCAAGGCCCTATATACCGGGGGGCTATTAAAGCATCCAAGAGCGCAGCATCCAAAATACGCAACAACCAAAACCGCAGCATCCAGTGATCAAAACCTCCAAATAACATCCAAAATCGGCCCTTTTGGGAGCATTCAGAGCATCCAAGAGCGAAACATCCAAGGATGCAGAATCCAAAACCGTATTATCCAAAATGGCAGCACGAGAATATCTGAGAATCGTATCATCCAAAGACGGTTCATCCAAGAGCGAAACATCCAAGCATGCAACATCCAGAATCGTATCATCCGAAACAATACAGAAAAGATGGATCCACTCAAGAGACTCAGAAGCGCCACCTGGCATATTTGTTATAAACTATTAGTTTTAGGCTCGCTTGACAGGTGGCGAATGCGTCGTGTTTAGCGGCACATCTTCACGATGTGACGTCACTAGGTAATATGACGCCACTAGGTATTATACAGTGGATCCCGCTTATATTTATTAACAACCAGAGCCGACTGCCGGTGGCTGCTCTGTGCTCCCGCCGCCGCCGCCGCCGCCGCCACTCTGTCTCCCGCCAAATAGCAAGAAAGCGCGGGAACCAAAAGCGCGCCAAATCGGTGCGCCGCGTGCTAGCTCTTCGTTCGCTAGGTGCAGCTGCACTCGGCGCCGGCTGCGCGCCGCGTGGCAACGCGTTGCTCGGCCGGTACAGATGCACTTAAAGGGACCCTCCCACCTTAACATTAGATTTGAGTTGAGATAGCCAAAATGGGGTCCCTGGCTCACAATTACCGGTTTCGGCACTCACAACATCGAGAAATGCCTTAAATCGGAAATATTGAATTTCAAAATTGCAGCATTTTGATTCAGAGGGGCTAATGCTTAGGAATACCCCTCTGAATGTGTGACGTCAGCGCAGATATCTAACGATTTTTAAATGTTTGACTAAAACGTTTTGTAGCACGCGGTGGTATATGCTATTTGCGCGCAGCATCTGCCGCAAACGCCGCACTTCTAAAATAAAGTCGCTAGAAACAGCGGAGATCCCTAAAAAGTAAACAAAAGTTAAAGTCTAATATCTTCACCACGGGTGAATATTTTTCGGTGAAATTTGGTAGATATTCGTCTTCGCTCTTTCTGAACCGAGCGACATCACTTTCATGCCAATTCATAAACTTTTTTGAAGGTGGGAGGGTCCCTTTAACAAAGCAATGAATTGCGGACAGAGCTGTTAGCTGTTGGCGCCTGGTGGCATTACCGAAAGGTTAGGAGGTCGATGGTATTTGGTTTGATGGATAACTTTACTAGAAGTTATTCGTTGAGGCTGCAGGCAGGGGCGTCGACACGGATTTTTGACTGGGGGGGGGGGGGGACGATCGACAGAGGTGAAATCTAAAAAAAAAAACATAAACAACACGGCCAGGCAACCGTATTTGGGACAACACGGCCAGTTAACTTATCAAGCTAACAGGGTATCAACATTTTATACATCACGCAAGGTATGTCATAAAAATAAAAAAGAGCTTATTATGCCGGGCTTCCCCCGGCTTCCCCCACTGTAGGGTAAGGTGCCTAATTAGCGACCCTTTCCTATTTGCGACATACCTCCCTACAGAAAAGCTGGGAAGATAAATCGGGGTAAAAACAATGTCAAAAGGTCTGCCATACTTTGGTTATCAAACTAAATTCTTTTCCGGTTGCTGGTGCTTCTGGTGGAACGTTTTAGGGGAGTTGCGATAAAAATGGCCAGTTTCTTATCCAAAACGTGTGCATTTGGACCCTATCTGATGAAAAGCGATGCACATTAAGATAATGCACCTTTTTTATTCTAAATCGACAATCCTTTTCCAATTGATTGCCGTTTTCCCGTAGTGAATCTTGTTACTGTGCACTGCATGGTAGTCAAAAATGTGTCGCAACCCATATTTCCTATTTGCGCCCAACACGGTCGCAAATAGCTCAAGCCTCAAGAAGAGAAAGAAAGGAAACAGACAGAAATTAAAATGAGGTGTTGCTGAAGTTTGCGATGTGTGGCGGGTTATACCAACTGTCGTAACCGACTGCAGGGGTGCCGATGCCGAATCCAGGGCGGGCCTCGAATATCATGCGAGATAGCCCGCGATATATAGGGGTTTTCGCCTTATTTTTGCCTTTGGTGCATCACGTGATCAGTTTTCACCTTCATAAAGGTGTTGGACAAACGCTCCTGTTCCAATGATTGAGTGCTTTGCGTGTAAGTTGCCTGTTTGGAACCATATTGCAAATTTGCAGGCGTCGCATTTTTTGCGATTTTTATTATGGGAAAACCCATAGACTTATTAGCGACCCTCACCGTGGTCGCTAATCGGGACGAGTTCCCTATTAACGTTTTTGCAATGGTTTGCCAAAATGCTCGGTGCAAATAAATTAGTGGATATTGGTGCAGAAAATGAATGGATTTTAATAGCAAAATGTACGATCTCTTCGAAGATCAAGCCAGTAATACAGTGGCACCCATAGAGCGTGAGCAATGACGGTTCAAATTAAAGGGACTATCCCACCTTAAACATGGGGTTTGAGTTGAGATAGCCAAGTTTGCGGCGAGGTTCAGAAACCACTATCTATCTAGGTTGCAACCCCCGCGGCCTCTTGGTGTTGAAGAAATTCGTTCCCTTTATTTGAAAATGGGCCTTGTACAAGGCCCTAGCTTCAACATGGAGCGACCGTTAGTGTGACGTCGCCTCGTTTAGTCATTCTGATTTAAATGGGTTTGTTCGTTGAAAAATCGCTTAAAACTTGGTCTGAACTTTGTTGTGGTGCCTACAGAGTAAAAAGAATCAGCTTTATGACAGTAATGTGGCCTGGGGAAGGAGGTAATTTTGGGCTGTGACGTCACATATTTGAAAGTTTGTGTTTGGAATATGGGAAGCCTAAGATGTTAAATGAAAAATAAATGCCAGAACCGTGTTCCTGGTCATCCAATCTATAAAGTCGGGCACAATTTAACTGGTTTTAACAACATTTTAGAAGGTGGGATAGTCCCGGGGGTCGCTAATTAGGCACCTTACCCTACAGATCCCTATGTATTCTGAGTTCTCTCATCTAAGAAAAATGATTTAGTTAAGAAACTAAGCTCTTGGGAGCGATTACCGTAGCTGAATGTTTTGCATCGAAATTGGCCGAACATGACGTCACTCTGACGTTATTTCCGGTTGACCTATGAGAAGCGAATACATTTTCATTGGAACACGAGGTGTCAAAGTGATGGAGCCGAAGGTTCAAGGTAGTAGGTTCTGCAAGTTTCGTGTGCATGGATACGCCCAGTCGTTTAGAAGATGTTGCAGAAAAGCGAGGGGAGTTCTCTGTAGTCCCCCCCTCCCCACCCCCAGCGCGGGTTAATGGCAGCCGACCGATTACCTGTACCTACATTTGCAGCCCGATAATTCAACTTAGTACGGTTACAGGCAAAGCCTCTGGGCTTCAATCACTATCGTCGCCACGGGGATGGGGGGGGGGCAGGCGGGGTAGCTTCCCCGCCCAAGCTCCGACCGTTTTAGCTTAATCGTTTTGAACTCGTTAGACATAAAATTTGTACCATCCTTTTTCCGTCGAGATGGTTCAAAATATGTATTTGATAGACCTCGGTAGTCGGTAGGTCACTTTCACTATTCGACCCACGTCAAGGTCAGGTCTTGTCTTGACCCAAGCAGGTCTTTTTGCACCTAGCGATCGACATGTCATGACAGTTTGGTACCACACTATTTACTAGTTTTAAGCACCATTATATCGTGGAAAAACTACTTTTTACCATATTTGACCTCAGATGACCTATCCATTTCAGTAAATGGTATCCGGGTCATCCTCACCACTCCAGAGCCGGTGAGGGCCCTTAGAAACTGGCGGGGCCAGCTGGGATAACTGGGCTTTTAGGTACCGGTGCGGGGCCCTCAGACTTCGGCCCCAAGAGACCTAAGGGGGCTGTGGCCCTTAACCCGGCAGTTGCTGGGGTATTTCGCCACCCACCGTTTGCTGGGGGGGGGGGGGCGTTAAACGCCCCCAGCCGATAACTCGAGAACCAATAGGCGCAGCGAAACGCACGAGGCGGCAAACGAAAGAGCGCGACGAGACGCTTCAGATGAGTACTTTAAAGTTGAATTTTGAGGTCACGGGTCGGGTCAAGGTCAGGTCAAACACCTGAAATCGGGCTTTCAGTAGCATGGACTTCAGGACTTCGCAATGGGCGCCTATCGCCATAAACTCTGTGAAAACGGTGCACAATCCATCTTATAAGGCCTGCAAGAGTGTCAGCTCCATGTAGGGGTCAGTCAAGCATAGGTCAGGGTCAAGGTCAGGTCAACCGGGTAGGCACATATCCCCGAAAATCAAAACTGATATTCGCAGCCTGTGACACATGTTTTATAGGTAATTTGGGGCGTAGAACACGATGGTGACATTCATTTTATCATATGTGTACGTGTTTGGCTCAAAAAGTTCAATTTAAGAAATTCATGTATCATGGTCGTGAAGTAGTCACGAAAAATTGCCAAGATTCAGTTCAAGATTATGGAAAATGCGGAACGATAATCAATAATCGAAGATAGCCATTTGATTGATCATGGTATTGGCAGTCTAATGGCGTTTACGGCATGTCTGTATGTCTATTCTGTGATTTTATATGATTTTTTGAACATATGCCGTTTTTGGTCGAAAACTCAGAAATCATGACGTCACTAAAACCTCGATATCTCAAAAAGTTTCCGACCGATTTTTTTAAAACTTTGTCACAATAATCTTCAATTAATTCCCTACAGGTACCCAAAATTTGGCGCGCCTGCGGTGCGCCGTTTTTATGCTATGGCCCGGCGAAAAAAGTGGGGGCGTTTAACGCCCCCCCCCCCCAGCAACTCGCGGGTTAAGAGCCCGCGAGAGCCTTTCGATACTGGCCCATGGGGCCCTGAGATAACCTGCAAGATAACACCCGCACGTACAGCCCACCGCTAAAGTACCTAATGTGTGGTTTTACCAATCTCAACGGATGGCTTTGACCGA